TTTGTGTACTGTGTATATAAATATACACATACATGCATATATTTAAGAAATATATTTAATATACATACATACATACTCACACACAAATGTAAATATTTCTTAAATATATATTTATGTGTGTGTATTTTAAATATGTATATAAATATACACAATACACACATATCATGCAAACATACACTTTTATTTTGGATGCGATTAATCACGATTAATCGATTTGACAGCCTTACTACATACTCTTCCTCTTTGCTACTACAAGTTAAATCTTTACATATGACTCAAGTTTTGATCTGAGTGTTGATTATTAAATAAACATTTTGGGCAATTTTCCTTTTTTGTGTGCGTTTTTGGCTAAATTAAAATTTTATTTCGGTTTCTGTGTTTCAGTAAACCATTTCGGTGCATCACTAGTTAAAAGCTTAACAGTTTGAACTTTTAAAAGTGAACATTTTATGAATTATTATAATGATCAAATTGTACACTTCTAAACAGTAATATACTTCTGTCTTCATTTTTATAATTAAGAGTTAAAACCTAGTAATAATAATAACTTATTATTATTTTTGTTTTATGATGATGGTGTTGATTTTTATTATTCAACTTGACTGGTTTTCTAAAAAAAAACTGTGTAAATGTAATGTGGACTGAGACACTATCACAACTAAAAAGTTTCCACCTTAAAGCCTAGCTACAAAGTTAGAATAAAACACTTACACTTAGATTAAATATTTTATATATGTACTTGCATGTCATATGACCATTCATTGGAAACAGAAAACCGTGAACATGCAAATACGTTAATAAATTATTGAAATAAAGTCAAATCTCTGGGGTGTACTTCAAGTAAATATTTTACACCTAAGGGGTTGGGTGACAAAACAAGTTCAGGAACCCCTGGGTTAGAGAGATAAGATGTATAAATGGGAACTGTACCTCCAAACAAGGGCTCTGGCTCCACCAGAATGTCCTGCTTCTGAGGAATGGGTGCTCGCACATCATCTCTGCCAGAGAGGAGAACACAACATTCAAAAAACTCAAAAAACAATACAGCAGCTTGAGACCAAGAGCTTTTGGTGTGTCATATGAAGTCACTCACTCAACAGGGGGGTGTCTGCTGCTGGACGCCCCGGCTGAACTGGCACTTGTGCTGGGCTCCTCTGCGATGCCCCCTCCGTCTAGAAACATGGTGACGGCCATCTCTAGGTTATTGTTACATGCTTCCAACATATGCTTCCCTACACTCTCTGTGGCTCCTGCAAACAAACACACATGCAAAGATATCAAAAGCATATATGCACTTCAAGAGGTGAATATGTAACTGTTAACACGTTACTGGTACTGCGGTTACAAAAATCTTCAAATAACAGTGTCAGACACTAAATAACAAGGATTTCCTTTGATTATATGGTGACATCATATGTTTTAAACACAAATAAATGCAGTGCTCTTTCACCAAATAGATACAGTGTGGTATATCTGAATTGTAAATAACTTTGTTTTGTTCATATTTTGTAAACATTAACCTTAAGCTGTCTGTTTCCATTCTTAAAAATATCTTTGCGATCCATCTAGTGAGAAAGCCCCACCCTCCAAAAAAATATAGATTTTTTTTCCCTGCAATATACAGGTGCATCTCAAATTAGAATGTCGTGGAAAAGTTCATTTATTTCAGTAATTCAACTCAAATTGTGAAACTCGTGTATTAAATAAATTCTGTGCACACAGACTGAAGTAGTTTAAGTCTTTGGTTCTTTTAATTCTGATGATTTTGACTCATCAGATCAGATTTTGACATTTAACAAAAACCCACCAATTCACTATCTCAACAAATTAGAATACTTCATAGGACCAATAAAAAAAAAACACTTTTAGTGAATTGTTGGCCTTCTGGAAAGTATGTTAATTTACTGTACATGTACTCAATAATTATTTTGAAGGCTCAGGAAACCTTTGCAGGTGTTTTGAGTTGATTAGCTGATTGGCCTGTCACCATATTCTAATTTGTTGAGAGGGATTTTGTTAAATGTGAGCCCAAATCATCACAATTAAAAGAACCAAAGACTTAAACTACTTCAGTCTGTGTGCATTGAATTTATTTAATACACGAGTTTCACAATTTGAGTTGAATTACTGAAATAAATGAACTTTTCCACGGCATTCTAATTTATTGAGATGCACCTGTATTGCATCAGGCATAATAATGTATACATGTATTTGGGAGTTTCTGGCTTGAAAAAGACCCATGTTATTATTTTCATGATCGTATGCCAAATAAAACTAATAAATAGGCAAAATGCAATAATTAAGGTATAATTATGGTCTTTTCAAATAATTGTGGTGTGGAAACCATGGTAAATATTGGTAAGGCAGTCTATATTAAGATGTTACATTGTTAAGTACCTATACAAATACCTCGTTTGTTCAAACCCTTATGGTTTTATAACAGTGCAGTTTTAAATCTGTAATATTACGTTAAAGACGCAAAGCAGCGTTCGCTCGTTTCAGTTCTCAACACCCGCCCCTTCAGAGAGCGCGCATGCGCACAACCAGCGCATCTTTCAACTTAACGAAAAAGTAGAGCTGCGAAACATGGCTTGTATTTTCTGACCAACAGAAACGAAACTATCAAACGATGCACACCATCATGCGATGCTCAAAAGCAACCTTTGCGTACACGTCCAATGACAGTTAAACTAAACAGTCTTGGTGCTTTAAGAACATCACAGTTGTGTGTGTATCTTTGACTTAGACGCGAGTAGTGAGAAGCATACAGAGAAACGGCAAACTGATTGAGAATCAGCCTACACAAACCGCCATGTTGTGGACCGTGGCTCATGTCCACAGACACACTTGTCGAAGTTGTTCAACACACTCGCGGTGGCTGGAAACATTCAGTCACACACAATCAACCTGTAGCATTTAAATGTAGCAGTGCGAATGCTAATCGTAGAGTGAAAATCAGTGCAGCACTAGTCAGTTTTGAATGTAAAGGTGTTACACATGTAGCGATGGTGAAATAACTAAGTAACGCTACAACCACATGTTCAAAGTTCAGTCTGAGAGAGTTTTACACTGCCATCAGTATACTTTAGAAATTAGTCTACATTAGATCGCCCCCTTTCTGTTCGGATTTCTTTTCTTTTGCATGTAGATCCATATTAAAGCAAGTGCAGATAGCAGCTAGCCGAAGCATTCGTTAGTCTCTTTGCTCTGCATGACAGAGGGGGCAGTAATGATGATGCCCTCTTCCCTACATACAGCATTTCTAAAGACCCCGTGTTCTACTCAAGCGAAATGGCCTGTGCACAAATTCCCGCGAATGCAAAATGTCAATATTTACCAGTTATGGCTGTGAACTGTTGTATTAACCCATTAACCCCCGGGGCTGATGCGTCTCCGAGAGTCGCCATCTTGCCGCCACTGACAACAACACGACTGCACGCATGCACGGCATCAACCAATAGGATCTCTTTCTACATCTGCCTCCGTGCGTCACCTCCCTGGATCTCTGGGTAATGTAGTTCATTCGTGGTATCACGGACTAAATTCCACTGTGCGCTGAATAAACGGCTTTGTTTGTATGAAAACAAATCAACGGTATGGGTGCTAATCTTCAACATGTCTCTCAATAGACATTCACTTTGTTAAAAAAAATAGTGTTTTTGCTTTGAGTTTACTATTTTTCTAAAGATACGTTTCTTCATTTGGAATGACAAAGGAGACAGAGGCTTCTTAAAATAAAATTGAATACCATGCATTTATATTTCGCTAAATATGCTATATTTAGAATATCTAGTAAGGACATTTTGATTTGTAATCAATTCTAGTCAAAATACCAGTGTTTATGATAATACAAATTGTGCTATAATCAGGTCTCTCAAGAGAGACAGTAACAGTAACACAAATCCAGACTTTTCTAAAATGGGGCCATTTTCAAGACGAGGCGATATTTTGAAAATAATAAAGACTGTATTTATTAAACTTTAGATGTAAAATATGCAAGCAATGATCATAACACCATTCTGATCAAGTTTGACACATGAAATTGTCAGACATTTTGCAAAATGTATAAAATGAATTCTTATTAAATGAATAAGAAAGAATGAACTCACCATGCATGCACCTCTCAGATCAGTCAACACCTGCAATGAAAGAAGTCGAAACAAAATCCCTTTTCATCCACTGTTCTGACACCACAGACATTCTTAAAATATAATAAAATATGTATTGTTTTTTTATTTATATTTACAATATAACTACTTTGTGTTAAAAATGTATATTGTTGTAGTTAGGTCTTAGGATAGCTCTTTGACGTATGGTAGGAACATGCACATTTTGTCACACATGGAATCTCTTCAATTCAATGAAATATGTATTTTTAACATTTCACAAATACGCAAACATTGTATGATTTATTGATAAAGTTTACTTAAACCGTTGCAAAGTAGAGGGACACTGTTTACCAGTTGTACTCTCTGCTAACAGTTACTCTGTGATTCGTGAATAATCTAATGTAAATTTTGCATACTGCAATTATTTAATGTGCCATACAAGCTCAATTTAGGGTTATATGGGCTAGAAGTAGTAAATGATACAATAGGTATATGCAAAATATAATGTGCTGTAATATTTGTATACTGAAAGAAATGAATAAACAAACAATTGCTGTTATATAACATGATTTAATGACAAATATTTGATTTGAATACGACTCATGCACGACCTTTTCTATTCAGACCATTTTATAGTGTCAGTTTTTATTAAAAGCTTAGAAGTCTCAGTGTCGATCAAAATCATGCACAAGATGTATCTGGTATTTATGAATACGGTTAATGAGAATTTCTTTAAACATTTCCATTAGGATCTTGGCATTTCCAACATTGCTGTTTTCAGCAGCATCCACTAATGCGGTATTTACATATTAATATTTTTGTGAAACGAGTTTTTTGAAATCAGAGGTTACCTGCACGCCTTAAATACAAAACAAACACCATAAGGGTGAGCATTGTTCAAATTCAGTTTATTTATAATACATTCAATTCTGAAACAGTCAACCAAGCTTGTAAAACAAAGTGAAAATTCAAGCAAATTAAAAGCAATCCTATTCAGTTGTTTTTTAACCTTTTTAAAGGGGCTGGGTTCATTCCATAAAGAAACCCCTCCGACCCCCCTCTCTCATGGCAAATGGGAGTGGCCAAACACAGTCACCACACTGTGGCCTCTTCCATTCACCTCCTATTGCGGGGGAATAAAACAACTCCGCAGATCATACTATAATAAGAGGTGTTTCTGTGTGAATATTTTGAGCGCATGTGATATTTAATTTTTCACAAAAAAGTAATTAAAAAAAATACTAATCACCTGCCATCACCTTGCTCTTTTGAATCCCTAAAATCACTTAAGATTGTGTGGCATAACCTTAGTTTATAATGGAATTAACCTCTAATAATATTCAGTATTAATGAAGAGTGAACAATATGCGTCATGTCATTTCAACCAGCCATACTGCCACAAACAGAACTGATATGCAAACAGAATCCATAAGAGCATAACACTAACGCAGACAGTCCCTGATCACATCAAAGAATAAGAGCTCCTCATAGCCATCTTTAGTACCTGAATGCAATGTGAATTCTGACCTTTTTACCACCTCGTATAGTAAATAAGCCTGATGTAAATCATACAGGGTGGAAATTTCTGATTTTCAATTGATGGAAGAGAGAAGGGATAACTATGATGAAATGATTTCCTAATCAAAATGCTAAGGGCAGTAAGATTTAGCGCGGATATATATTCCGAACAACAGGCGCCAGCTCCTTTGAGTTCAAACTGAAAATAAATTAACAAGCATTCACACTATAGCGCAAGTCATAGTCTCTGTGTGAGTAAAAGGTGCCAGCACGTGGAATGGCAACACTGGGAGTGGGAGATTCTTCTTTTTTGTTGTTAAAAAGTTAATAAAAGAGATAAACAGGGCATACAGTGTCCATGAGGTGCATGAGGGTAATATGGTAGTGGTGCGTTTATAATATGCTGTGGGTGGTTTGGGTGAGGGAGGGCACAATGAGGTGGATGATCAGAAACGGATGAAGGTGGCATCTATCTGCCTGACACTGGGAAGAGCCAACATGATCTTGCGTCTGTATTGAGGGTCCTTCTGCAAAGGGTTTCTCTCCAGATAGACAGTCTCTAGACCTTTGGCGTTTTTGAGTTCGTCCAAGTCTGCCCAGTTTTCAATTTGGTTGTCATTCATCTGTATAAGGAAGAACAAAAAAAAATAGCCTTTTAACAATGCTTTGTAATTTTTTAGATGTTATTAAAACAAAAAAAAATAAGCATTGATACTCCAAAGTACGATTTTTACATATAATACCATTCAAAAGAAAACAACTTTTATTCAGCAAACATGCATTAAATTTTAAGAAAAGACATTTATCGCATTACAAAAGATTTCTATTTCTAATAAATGCTGTTTTTAACATTGATAATAATTGATAACCGTTACTTGTTCAGCAAATCAGCATATTAGAATGATCATGTGACACTGGAGTAATGATGCTGAAAATTAAGCTTTGCCATCACAGGAATAAATCATATTTTAAGATGTATTAAAGGGGTCATGAAATGCAGTTGGCAGATACAGAGGCAGAAGAAACTTCAGTTGCTCAGACACGTCATTAAATTTATTTCAGCCATGCATTTCTTATGATCGGATCTTTAGGGAAGGCTATGCAAAGTTTTGGAAGTGCAGTTTCTTTACATCCACTGACAGAACAACGTTTGAGTTTGTCGTTGTACTCAACATCGTTACCCAGCAGCAGTATTGATCTTGTGATCGATGGACAGACATGAGGTTAAGATCACACCTCCTTGATTTTATATGACGATCATGACGTCACAACTCTCCCAATCAAATCTGAGCTTCAGAAGGGCAGAGAAGAATTAGATCACTTAAACTGGGGAGTTAGTTTTGAGTTCTTGAACGTGTGCTTTTGGGGTAAATATCAAGAACATTTTGATTCTCCACTTCATGGCTCCTTTAAAACAGAAAACAGTTATTTAAAACAGTAATCATATTTCATAGTATTACTGTTTTAAACTATTTTTGATCAAATAAATGTAGCCTTGTTGAGCATAAGGGACTTAGAAGATTAAAAGGTAACACTTTAGTGTAGGGACAAATTCTCACTATTAACTAGTTGCTTATTAGCATGCCTATTATTAACATATTGGCTGTTTATTAGTATTTATAAAGCACATATTCTGCATTTCTAATCCTACCCAATACCTAAACTTAACAACTACCTAACTAACTATTAATAAGCAGCAAATTTTGAGTTTATTGAGGCAAAAGTAATAGTTAATGGTTTGTTTATAGTGAGAATTGGACCTTAAAATAAAGTGACAGATTAAAAAAACCTTACTGACCCTAAACTTCTGAAAAGGTTTTTAAAATCTCCATGTAGTGTGCCATAAAATATACAAACAGTTAACCAGTCTTTTTTTTTTTCTTACCCAAAATTCTTTTAATTCAGTCAAATGGCTGATATTTTCAATCTTTTTTATCCTGTTCGCAGCGATATCCAAAGTTGTCAGCTTTTTCTAAAAAAGAAAGGGAAGAAAGATGAAAGATCTGTATATTCTAGCACGAAAATATTCTGGGGCGGATAAAAATAAAACCACGGATGTGACGACAGATCAGAACACAGACATCCCCCGTGGAGTAAAGGTGCAGTGGAGAGGCAGAGAACTTCAGAATAGCTGGAGAAACGAGAATATTACACACAAAACTACCAAATTCTAGCCTGACAGCTTCTTAACATGCATTTTATGATGGTTTCTTTATCTTGCCATTTTGCTACAGATATTTAACAAGATTTAAAGGAGACATATTAGGCCCCTTTTTACAATATGTAACAGAAGTCTCTGGTGTCCCCAGAAGATGTCTGTGAAGTTTCAGCTCAAAACACCCCACAGATCTTTTATATCATTTTGAAAATGCCTATTTTGAGTGGAAGCAGAAACGCACTGTTTTTCGGGCCTGTCTCTTTAAATGCAAATGAGCTGCTCCCGCCCCCTTTTCCAGAATAGAGCTGCGCCATTACAGCTCGAACCTGCTAAAAACATCTGTTTTGGTTCTGATTATCATGTTTATCGCGCTGAAATCATGCGTTTTAAACCATATTAGTTTAAACTTCTGATATACGCGTTTCTGAGCGCACACAACCGAAGCACACAACCGAAGCACACGGACAGAAAGCGGCTATCACAGCATGCAAGTACTAAACTATGTTCTCATTCACACAAGTTTACGTTAAAAACACACAAGTTACAAAAACAGTCGGTTATGTCTGTGAAGGTAAACAGCTGGGAAATAAATCGCATGTTTATTTTAGATCTGTGTGGCAGCAGCAATATACATTAAATAAATCAATAAATCCACTGCTCTCTTGTCTCCTCTGAGGCTGGGTCTCTAAATAGTTCTGTGCTCGTCCGTGCAGCCAAAGGCAGAACAGTTACCATTAGTGCTGGGCGGTATACCGGTTCATACCGAATGCCGGTGTTTATTTTTGTTATGATATGAATTTTTTTAATACCGCAATAGCGGTGTATGTCGCTTAAACAACGTTCGGAACCCGACACTGTTTGAAAGGGGTCCCTTTTCACTGTTGCACTGTGGTGAGGGAACAGCTGTATGTGTTACTAAGCGTGAAAGTTCCGAAACTGAAGCTGTAGAACGTGATCTCATCCACAATATCCACATTGACTGCCACAAATATCCACCGCCCCCTGCCATCAGCTCCCGCATCTCACACACACACGAGCGCGACTTTAGCACTAGATTTAGCAACTTTCAGACCCTTTTAGCTTTTTTCCATAGAATATTCATACTGACAAACTTAGCGACTTAATCTTATTATGAAGTAAGAAGAGCTTCTTGATTTTTGAGAGACACTCCAATCCCTCAATCTTCCTCAATAAGTTGAACGATACATCTAGCTGCCTGCAAATCACAATCACAAATGAGAAAACTGCATGTATTTGAACTTTCTCAATTCTTCAAGTACAAAAGATAAAAAAAAACAACTTAGAATCCAGTTTAAAATTCTTCATGTATTTTCTATTCATGGGTTCATACGGTTTTGAAAAACTGTCATTAATTCAGCATTTTATTTATTTATTTAGCAAAACAATCATGCCAAATTACATTTTCCTTTAAAGATTTCTATTAAGAGAAGAAAAAAAAAAAAAAAAGCTTCTTCACTAAGATATTAGGGCAGTTATCCTGACATCTGTGCCCCCCAAAAATATCACAATGGATTTGAATACAAAAATTTAAAACCTGCAACCCTTTACAGACACCTTGGCAATTTAATCACCATTGGCTAGTAAATTCTTTAGTTTAGACTCATATATATATAGTATCTCACAGAAGTGAGTACACCCCTCACATTTTTGTAAATATTTTATTATATCTTTTCATGCGACAACACTGAAGAAATGACACTTTGCTACAATGTGAAGTAGTGAGTGTACAGATGGTCTGGGGCTGCATGAGTGCTGCCGGCACTGGGGAGCTACAGTTCATTGAGGGAACCATGAATGCCAACATGTACTGTGACATACTGAAGCAGAGCATGATCCCCTCCCTTCGGAGACTGGGCCGCAGGGCAGTATTCCAACATGATAACGACCCCAAACACACCTCCAAGACGACCACTGCTTTGCTAAAGAAGCTGAGGGTAAAGGTGATGGATTGGCCAAGCATGTGCATTCTCAAACGGAAGGTGGAGGAGCGCAAGGTCTCTAACATCCACCAGCTCCATGATGTCGTCATGGAGGAGTGGAAGACGACTCCAGTGGCAACCTGTGAAGCTCTGGTGAACTCCATGCCCAAGAGGGTTAAGGCAGTGCTGGAAAATAATGGTGGGCGCACTTAATATTGACAAAATATTGACACTTTGGGCCCAATTTGGACATTTTCACTTAGGGGTGTACTCACTTTTGTGGCTAGCGGTTTAGACATTAATGGCTGTGAGTAGCGGTTTAGACATTAATGACAATGACACTACTTTACATTGTAGTGAAGTGTCATTTCTTCAGTGTTGTCACATGAAAAGATATAATAAAATATTTACAAAAATGTGAGGGGTGTACTCACTTCTGTGCGATACCGTATATATATATATATATATATATATATATATATATATATATATATATATATATATATATATATATATATATATATATATATATATATATATATATATATATATATATATATATATATATATACAGTATACACAGCTTTTTAAATATCTGTAATATAGTAAAAGTATTATTTAATGATAGAACTTTAGTAATTAGAATTTAAACTTGGTAACCATGTATGAATGCATATTAGTAATTTTAACTGAACTTAGGACTGGTAGTGGTGCTTTTTTGGCCATTCAGTGTTTCTGTAAAAAAAAAAAAAAGGGGTAAAAACTAACAATAATACTTAAGATAATAATAATACTATGAATTCTAAGAACAATATAAAATGCACTAAGGATTAACGACCTGCTGGATTCATGAATATTAATCAGGGGCCCGATGTATAAATGTTGCGTATGCACAAAATGGGCATGGAAATGTAAGTTTGCAATTTTCCACACACATATCGGTGTGAGTAAATATGTGCACACCGTATGAACACTCTAGACCAGGGGTGCCCAACCCTCTTCCTGGAGATCTACCTTCCTGCAGAGTTCAGTTCCAACCCTGATCAAACACACCTGTCTGTAATTATCAAGTGCTCATTCAGATCCTAATTAGTTGGTTCAATTGTGTTTGATCAGGGTTGGAGCTGAACTCTGCAGGAAGGTAGATCTCCAGGAACAGGATTGGGCACCCCCTGCTCTAGACCATGCGTACGCACTCTATTAGCGAAATAAAGCAAACAGAATGATTTTAAAGTCTGTTTTACATTTGACATACACATTTATGACACTCAATGAAGTGAAGCACTGAAATTTCATGAAATTATCCAGAAGTTACAACATTTTTATATGAATTTAAACAAAAATATTTGCAGTGGATGTGCTGCTTTCGAACTATTTTCCTGTGGTATGCAATTTAATGTTTTAATCACAGCGAGGATTGCTTGGCACATGTTAATTCCACTTTAAATTGTGTTCTAAATAGCAAAACTCATGTTCTGAGAAAATACTTTTTCGCAAATAATAATCATCATTTTTGTGAACTTTGACTTTGTTTGTTGGCTTTAGAACATAGACGATAATGACCGATATAAGGATGTGCTCGTTGATCGAACAGTCCATTGGCTGGTTTGAACAAATTTGATGACAGTACTCTAGACCCTCTGTTCACAGGTGTTGCGCACAGACAGTAGCCTAATGATAACCCCTTTCATGATCTTCCCAATATTGCAACAAAACACCATATTTAAAAGATTTTCCTGATGTATTGTACCCTTAACGGCGTTAAACCTGGTGTCACGTGGATGGAATATGCATGGAAATTATATGCAGATTACATTACGCATATTAAAACTAGGTGTTGTAAGCTCCACATATGGCTATTTCGGGGAGGAGACGGGGTGGAGATTCATGTACGCACAATCTTCCGCTGACTGGGTATTACAAAGTTTCTGGCGAACGCATGGTTTTATAAATCTGAAAACTTTTGTACATACGCAAAATCTAGCTTGTGCGTGTACGCATACATTTAGGATGAAATCTACGTAGAGTTTTATACATGAGGCCCCAGGTTGTGCGTTCGCTCGAACTGATTTGCTGAAATCAAAATGGACTATAATAAGTGAGTTTTTCCTTCTTCCATTTAAAAAAAAAATCTCCATCCACATGAAAATGCAAGCGCATGCTATGAAGCACTGTCAAGAGCATGCCAAACCAACAGGTGGCGATATAATCTCAAAAAAAGTTTCCAGTAGGCAGAGATAACAGCGCATGCTCCGACGTCACAAGCAAAAAAAATGCCGCTTTCGCTGTCTACACGATAACACTGCAACCGGAGTTTTTGAAAATCTTCATCCTGGCAGGCGTTTTCAAAAATGTGCGGTTTCAGTGAGCTGGTGCTGCGTTTGCATGTGGACGAATGGCCTAACCACGTAGAAAAGCTACGGTTTTAAAAATAACCGCGTTCGTGTGCATAGGGCCTGATTTAGTCGCATATGCGAGTTATTCACTAGTAATGTAGAGGGTTGACATGCTTATCATAAATGTGGTTT